GAAGTTACGGAAAATCAATTAACAAACGAAGACGTAACAACATCAACCCAATAACCCAAGCGAAGCTGGGTACTTTCGCTAGTTTTATATGTTTGTGATGATTACCAAAAAATTTATATATTGATGTGAGTTTGTGGGTTCATTAAAAAAAAATTCAGTGTTTTGTTATTCGTGTCCACAGGTGAATCTTATGGTGTTTTGACAAATGTTGTTTTGTGTTAAAAACTAAAAACAAACAAATTTTTCTAGTAGTTTTAAATTCTTGAAATTTCTTATCAAACTTGGTTCAACTACCAATGCATTTTATGCTGTCAGAATAATTTGATTGAAATAATCAACCAGTGGTCAATCAACGCACGTACAATTAAGATGATTGGATGATTTTAGATAATTAATTAGTTATTTTGAGCAAAATTTAGTCATGTTAAGCAGAACAATTAGTAGAAACCTAGAGTTACATTGGTCGATCGAATGATTATTTTATGAAACTTTTAAACATGCTAACACTGAAATATAAAATCCTATTTCAAACGATGAAACTTGGACTATAGAAAGAAATACACAAAACTAGTATTTGAGATAATTTCTTTATATTCTACGCTGAAATGTAATTTCTTTTCGACATAACATCTAATCATGTTATAAACATCTATCTATAATAGTTTCAGTTTAAATTATAAGGCTCTACCGGTTCAAATCATCGAAAATGCGCCGCCTAAAACTATGTCAAATCTCGGCTGAAAACAAACAGAAATCAAAATGGAAAGTTTTAAACACTCTCTTGATGAACTGCCTTGGTGTTACACGAGTGCTAGCAGCACCTAGGGATTGTATATACAATTTAACTTTTGAAGTGATAAAAGATAGGAAATAGCACTGAAATTTATCATTGAACAACTTATTCTAATAAAAAGGCTAAGATATAACTATATTTCATAGTTATTGTACATATAATTGATTTGTTAGTGGATTAGGACTTCTTTTACAATTATATATCCGTCTTAACAACCAGTAACTGCGAAATGAAGACATTCTGATTTTTAACCACATTGATTTTTTAAAAAATAATAATAATAAGAAGAAGAAGAAGAAATCGGGTGATGGTGTCATGTAGACGAAAGATTAAGTTAATGTATTATTAGTGTGTAAATAAATAGGCTAGAAATATAAAACATGCACGAAAATATTTCTCAATAAACCAAATAACATTAACTTGTTTGAACAATATAATTTCGAAATATTACATTTAAAAAAAAATCCCATTTTTCTTTACTGAATGCAAAGTAACGTACTGCTCTTTTCTTTAACATTTTCAATTAATGAAATATATATATTAGGTCCCCTGGTGGACCAGTGGCAAATGTACGGAGTTACCGCGCTAAAATTCGGGGTTCGATTCTTTACGGTAAACAGAGCAAAGATAGCCCATTGTGTAGCTTTGCTCAAAAAACCACCAACAACATCTGCTACATGTATTGTATCACGTGATTTTCCAAAACTGAGACATCTGTAAACGTGACTGAAAGCTATAACTGTTAATCTTTATTATGAAATATTGCATCAACGGACATAGTGAATTTCGCTCAGAACTGGAATACTTCCTGTACTACTATTGTGTGTACAGTAAGTACATATTTCTTTGAGTGCAAATTAGAAAAGTAGTTTTTCTAGATTTTACGCCTTAAAAGTAAACACTTTTAGTTGGTAAATTATTGTTTGAGGTTATTTTGATAAAACACTTTTGATAGAGATTAGAATTGTTAAAAACTTGTTTAAAATGTTGTTTTTTGTGTGTGTATGTTACAGTTAATACAATTCAATATATATTTACTTGGTTTGGCTGTTGTTAAGCGCAAAGCTACACAATAGGCTGTTTGGGGTCTGCCCACCACGGGTATCGAAACCAGAACTTCAGCGTCATGAGATTGCATCAGATTTTTTTTGGGGGGGGGGTATATTTACTTGGAAAACAGTGTTTAGATGGAGCATTACGAAACTGCTATTATTTCATTGTCCTGATCTTATTAATGCGGTATACATACACACATTTTTTTCGTTACGACATTTTAATTATGACGTTTTCTTTATAATCACCTTGTAGTCAACTCAGTTGAAAGAGCTTATAAGTCTTTTTTCTATCCACCCCCCAGTGGCACAGCAATAAGTCTGCGGTCTTATAACGTTGAAAACCGGGTTTCAATACTCATGGTGAGCACAGCTCAGATAGCCCATTGTGTAGCTTTGGGCTTAACTACAAACAAACACTATGATCTTAATCCCAATTAGTTTGGGGTAAGCCAAGAATTTTTACAACCGGATGTCTTGCCCAGTCAGCCACCATATAGGATGAGCATGTTCGGCGACGTGGATTCGAACTCGCTACCCTCAGATTGCGAGTCGAGCGCCTCTAACCACCAGCCCATTCTAGGTCCATACATATGTATGCATACTACAAATCCTGCTGAGTATTTCAACAAGAAAAATGGTGTTACAAACATATGGACATCATCAGAATGACTGGTGAACCAACCTACTTTTGAAAACTTAACATATGTTGATGGAAGTCATGCTCATAAGAATTAGTTTTAAAGTAAAGCAGCAATTTACTTGGATGAATCATGGCAATAGCAAATATTTAAATACACTGCTAAAATCCACCCGAGTCTTGTATCCTATTGCACAATGAGAATAACAACTACCCCATACTTCTAGAAAACTTTAAAAATCTCAACTCCGGAACCAGAGATTACGAACTCTTTTATTAAAGAAAGCCTCTCCGTTTTTAATGTTCACCAAACACAAAATAATAACATCAACTCCTCCCTGTTGTCATTGATGTAATCATTTCAGTGTTTTTATTTGATATTTATTATTATTATAGAATACATTGTTTATACGTATATTTAAGCCTTTCTCTGTAATATTTTCTCTTAACAATGTTATTTATTAAACATGTGTATACCGCACGTTTTATCGTACATTCCATTATATTGTTACCGTTTAAATCTGTTCTTTCTAAACTTCCGATGGAATACGAATACTCCCTCAATGCTAACTTTTTTTTGAGATATTAACGCTGACGATGGAATTTAAGGAAATTCCGAAACGTCCGTATTAAAGATGTTTTTTTTTTGGTATTACCGTGTTTTTAATATTTATTATAAAACTTCGTTTTCCACCTAATGAATCACTGCTATAAATAATTAAAAAAATAATCGGAATGTGTAACGTTATAATTACAACCAGACCAAAACTACTGTTATAAAATAATGGAAATTAGTCCACTTATTTAATTATTATGTAAGTCAATTATTTTATGAGCAGTCGTTTGGTCTAATATACAAATGACTCGTTATTCAGTCTATGCTCGTAAATGACCATTTGGTAGATGCGGTCTTCCATCTTTAGACTCCGTGTCATATGAAATACGATCACCACGAACAACCAGAAAAACCTCGAACCTTATATCACAAGCCTAAAAATTAGTGTATTGAAAAACTCCTCAGCTATCCTTGACCTCTTTTTTTTTTTTTGAAAGAACTGTTTTTATGGCACTTTCAATGTCCGGGGTCCCTTGACGAAATGCTATTGCGTTCCTCAAGAGCATACCTTACATCAGGGGTGAGCGAAATACGGCCCGCGGGCAGGGTTCGGCCTGTCTAACATTTCTGTCCTTCCCGGCAGTTGTGGAAAGAACTTAATGGGGTCTTTATAAAATCGATGTTGATGTAATTTAACTAATATAGTAGAAATGTGCAGCCCGCGACGACTTATCAAAATTCGTGTGATGCCCCACCCCCCTGCGAAAGTTATTTCCCACTCCTCCCTTACATACTCGATGGGATGGAAGTCTGATGAGTATGAAAACCACTCCATTCGGTTAATTTTCTACCTTAAAGCAATGTGTTGAAAAATTTAGCATGGTTGGAGTAGTAATTATTATTAATTAGTCTGAAGTCAAGGCCAGTTGTACTAGTATATAGTAGCTATAAGGGTTGTAGGACGTGTGATTTTAGTGATACTATTTTGTAGGATGTAGAAGTCGGTAAGTTCAACAATGGTTATCATTCTTATTCATACGATATTTCCAACATTGTCATATGCGTCACGTTTCTGTGAGAAAATGGATACGACCAAGTTGAGTATAGGCTTGTTAAATGGCTCCGACTCAGCTGCAAAAGTAATATCGTTCAATCTGTCGTTAATTAGTTCACTATACATGTTCTTGGCGCTATTGCAGGTGAGATGTTTTGTGCAATGCCATGAATGAAACTGAATGCATCTGACATACAGGTTTACTTTGTGAAATCTATTGCTAGCATTTGTGCTCTTACAAGGCATTCAGTTGCGGCTAAGAATATCTGATCCAATCTCAGATGGCGGTGATCTGCTTGTTTCTTGGATGATGCTCTGCTTTGTTTAGGTGTTCGAACAACAGTACTGTTCCGTTGGATTGAAAACAGTTCTACAGTTTGCTAACAACATCTTAATTCACTCGGAACCAATTCGCAACAGCTTTCTCTGTTTGAGGGGCTTCCACTTGTCTAATGGCTCTCCACATGCATAAAACATGCGCACGCTTTCTGAGATGTAACCAAGGTTCACGAGTAATTGGGATTACTTTGAATTCTATGATTCACTTCAAAGTGACTACTGAGACACGATTGCATGAGATCACAATATAGAGCGTAGACTGAAAAAAATAATTTACATTTGAGGTCACGTGACAGATCATTAACGACTAATTTTCGTAGTAATGAACTGAGAAGAAAGATTGACATGTTTCATAACAGTGTTTTTGTTATTTCATAGTTATAAAATTATAAATTCCAATAGTACTTTAATCGTTTTCGGCAGTATAGCATAAGAAACACCTGGATCGTCACCTTAAGGCAGCACACACACACATACCTATGCTCAATTTATGGTATTAACAAATGTAATGATAGCATGAAATTTCACAAGAGAATCAAGTTAATTCATCTAACCTTTCATTTTAGTCCGTGCTCCAGGCAAAGTCCAAGTTTCAAGAGAAAAAACCGGACATTTTGGTTACCCTTAACAAACAAAATCCATTATTAGAGAGGATGGGATTTACTAAAAGACAGGGAGTATCAGGAGAAAGCGCTAACAGCCGCTCTTTTTCTGAATCTTCTATACCAAGTTACACGAAAGACATTCGGTAGGTAGCGCAATGTCATCTAATCTTATCTTAAAGTAAGTTATCAATAAGGAAAGCTAATGTAATGCTATAACTTATAAGTATTGTTCTTTAAGTTATAAATAAGGAAAACTAGTGTAATGCTATAACTTATAAATATTGTTCTTTAACGTTCTTGCAAAATACTTTCGTTAAAGTATACAACAACATATTATTAAAAAAGTTTAAGTACCAAAAATTTATTTATTTATGTGCTTATATCAAACATTTCTATCAATAAAATAATAAGTTTTCTTGTTGATATCACTAGATTTGTTTTATAAAATACTCGTATAACTACTAAAAAATAGAAAAATGACACTTGTTTTAAGAGTTGTAGTTATATTTGTGATGAAAGTATGTAACTAATATTAATCTAGGGCAAATGCACTAAAACGTAAAACCTTACAGCTAAAATTCATGAAGTCTTATTTATTTTTCAGAGATGAAACCTAAATGACAAAAATATTGAAATGTCTAGTGGAGGCGTTATGTCTGTAAATTTGTAAATTTTACAGAATGGAAGCTATTAATTTCAGTATTTTGTATGAAAGTTGGTTTGAGCTTTGAACTTATTTTTAGCAGTGTTCAGGCATACAACATTGAAAGATTTCACTAAAAATAAATTGCGTGTACTTCCAAGGATTTAATTTATTAAACTCTCTTTTACCAGTTGTCAAATACATTTGTCGTCAGGGTCTATCGTTAATGGCATTCGCTAGCAAAAATGTTTTCCATCAACCATTATTGACAGACCCAAGTGAAACAGATTTGACAAGCTTGTAAGCTCTACATACAGACACCAGACTATGCTTAAAAGGACTGATTCTTTCAACAGTAAACAGGATTCAACTAACTTTATTTGTGTCATGCAAAATTAGTCTTAAAAATGTCATGATAAGTTCTTTGTGATCTATGCCATAATAAATTCTTAATGATCGATGTCGTGATAAGTTCTTAGTGATCTATGTCGTGCTAAGTTCTTAGTGGTCTATGCCATAATAAATTCTTGATTATCTATTTCGTGCTAAGTTCTTAGTGGTCTATGCCATAATAAATTCTTAATGATTTATGTCGTGATAAGTTCTTAGTGATCTATGTCGTGCTAAGTTCTTAGTGATCTATGCCATGATAAGTTCTTAATGATATATGTCGTGCTAAGTTCTTAATGACCTATGTCGTGATAAGTTCTTAGTGATCTATGTCATGATAAGTTCTTAATGATATATGTCGTGCTAAGTTGTTAATGACCTACGTCATGCTAAGTTCTTAATGACCTATGTCGTGCTAAGTAGCTAGTCAGGTGAACATTGTGCAGCCTGTAACTTTATGTTGTTAACCTTAACAGCATCGCTAATGCTATTTTAATAATAATAATAAAAATGTGTAGCACTTTGTTCCCAAATAAAAACGTGAATAAAACACGTTCAATTATTTATGGCAATTATTTATTATTTATATATATATATCTGCTAAGGCTAACCACTTAAGCCTTGAACACAACACAAAAACAAGATTTCGCTTATGGGAGGAGTGTGTGTGTGTGTGTGTGTGTGTGTGTTCTTATAAATGTGATATGAGCATCTGAATAGTTGTTCAAAGCTGATGAGTTTTTATTTTTATTTTCTTTGTGAAAATAAAACAATCACTAACTTTATAAATAAACAAGAGGGAATCCTCAATAGCCGCGGCACTTGAAAAATCATTTGGCAGGATTAGAGTAAATCAATATATGAGACCTTGGGCGAGGTCAAATACATCAATCGAAAGGGTGTGATATCCTGAGTCGAAAACTGTAATTAGATCTCAAAATCGGTCAAGAGATGACGGAACTATGAGCTAAAAGTTTGTACTTGAAAAAGTCAGAGCTACTCTATGATCCGCTATGCCGCGGCTAAAAATGATTATTCAAAAAGGTAATACTTTTAAGAGTTCTTATAATTGTATAATAGATGTAAGTATTTACAGACTTACCTGGATACACTGACAAAAAGCTACGATAATCTTTTTTTTACCTAATTCTGCTGAAGTAGAACTAATATTTCTAACACTGTTTATTTTACGTATTCTATGCTTAATAATGTTATTTTCAAAAGTTCCAAACAGCTGATCAAAGACGCAATCATGGATAACGATTTCTTGAAGAATTTAGACTCTTCTCAAATGCGAGAGATAATCAACTCCATGTATTCCAAGAGTTTTGAAGCAGGAGACTTTGTTATCAAAGAGGGTGACGTTGGAAGCCATCTGTACGTTTCTGCAGGTTTGTACTTTGTTGGTAGTTATTTTCTTGTAAATGAATTTCACTTAGGATAATAGTGAAGGTATAAAAGAGCATATCTATGATTCGTTAAATATCAGTATTTGCTTATGATCTACACATAGGGTCTTCAGAGGGTTATAACAATTCATAAGAAATATGCGAATATTTTTATTCTTAATTTTATAAAACACTATACTATAACTTGTTACTTCCCGTGTTTAATGTAGTGGATACACAAACGACGTCTTTGTCCACATGAAAATTTGTTTAATGTTCATTATCCCGCCTTATGAATTTTTCGAGAACTTTCTACAACAGACATAGCGAGGGTACTTTAAAGAATATTCAAAACAGACCTACTGTGATACGGACAGCAAGAGTCGCTGGCAACCTTCGTACTTATTAATTTGGCCCTGCATGGCCAGGTGGTTAGAGATCTCGATTCGCAATCTACGGGTCGCGGGTTCGAATCTCTGTCCCACCAAACATGCTCGCCCTTTCAGCCGTGAGGGCGTTATAATGTTGCGGTCAGTCCCACTATTCGTTG